TTTTCAAATGCAAATGTTTGCATTGTTTGCTATTTTACAATTTTACAAACTAGGTATAAAAGACCATAAATAAATGACATAAGTTATGTGTACCTAAAATTCATGGAGGGGGGAGGGGAAATTACAAATTAAAACAAAATAGAAAAATCTATATATCTAACCCAGAGATCGTTCAAATGCACGAACAAAGAAATGCTGTTAAGATTTTTTTCAGTATGAACTAAATTATAATATGCCTCATACATTCTAATTATAACCACAGTCCTTGCATATTCCAACATACTTGCAGTGATACAAAAAAATAAATGCACTCTCTTTTTATTTGACTGATTAGTATTTCAGATTTTTTTTCTTTTCTGGTTATGAAAATGTCACATAAAAGAAAAATACTGCTTTTTAAGTCCCATTTACTGGTTACTTACCAGCCTCTTGTATTTTATACATATATATTTTTAATACATAAGATCCATCACAAAATTAGTACAGCAAGAAACCCGGACAAACATCAACCAGTGGTGTGTGAGCAGGACGATTTCTGAACAAACAGAGGCTTCTCATGCGAGACAGTCCTGGTGCTGACCTCTCCTCTGCCCCATGGGAAGCAGTGCCACGGCACTCGTCTTCCTTTTGTCCCCAGCTCCCTCTGGAGCAGCCTGCAGTGACCCACGCTGAGTCACACAGGTGGCACTTCCCAGCACCCAGACTGTGCCTGGGCTCTGCTGACAGCGCAGCTGCCCTCGCTTCCCTTCCATGGCCCTGCAGGCATAACTACAGTTAACAATGAGCATGGAGGGTCCATGAGGAGGGAAAAGAAGAGGAAGCTGGAGCAACTTTGGGACACCACTTTATGGCTCTGGTCAAGGCTGCACTCGCTTTTAACACAGCGGATCCAGCCTCCCCAGTGTCTGCTGGAGTGAACCCCTGTCCCATGGCAGTTTGCTGTGCTGCACTGGGTACTGTGGCAGATGCCAGCCCCCCATGGCCTGGAAGCAAGAGGGGGAACATCGCCTGCCCCACTCCAAATCCCCAGTGGCCGTATGTTCCCTGGAGTCTGGGGCACAGCTCCACTCAAACTACTTTACACTACATTGACAGTGAATTGTCCAGACACAGAAAGCTTTCCTAGGTAGTACCAGTAAATTGCAGCACTGCTCCTCAGGCCATGGAAGAAAGAGTGCCTTTTACTGCACTTCATCAGCTCTTCATCACCCGCAAGAGGAACAGGACACATTTCACAACTCTCTTGCTAACTACTGTAGCCCTAAAGGTCTTGTTGCATTATTGTTCTTTAACTTTGCTGAGAGCAAATGAAGTGTTTTGATTATTACGTTAGAAGTTTTCACAGCTTGCACACAGAGCAAGGTGCTTCTGTGAATGGAAGAATTGCATATATCTGTTCGCATTCAACAAGTCTTTAAAATCCTATTTTTGCAGATAAAAAAGGCTACTTAAGAGTTCGGTTCAGGGTTACCAGTGGACGGATACACAGGTGTTGCCTCCATCACCTTGCCATTGGGAAACTGGTCAGTCTTGATCATGAACAGGGCATTAAATACAAATAAACAACACTTAAGAACATCTTTAGCACCCTTGTGGAGCCCGTAATCCGTAACTCCAAAACTAACTTGAAATTGCCCATTTCAGGCTGCAGAACTACTCATTAAGGTTAGTGTGGCAGCTAAAAAATACACTTGTAGATACAGAAATTTAAACACCTTTTTAATGTGTGTGTTCTCGCTACCATGGCAGACACGAGCTATTGGCCTGCTCTTTTATGACAGGGGACTCCTGCGCCTCCGGAGATGCTTTCGGCACATTCACAGGCAGTTCTACACAGGAGGTGACTCGCACTCAAAATGCACACACACAAGCACACATACGCACCTTTCAGAGGAGATATTAATCCATTATCCATTCAAGGAAAAAAAAAAATATTTATATCACTGCAATGGCACGTTTTGTGTAAAATGTAACTTCAGCAATGTATATGGGCAGCTCACAGGAACTGGGTTCTTTGCCGCGGCACCTGGTCTGGTGTCCGTGGTAAGATGTGTAGTGCTCCGTCATCTGCATCCATTGGAGATGCAGCAGTGACAGCCAGGGGGATGAGGAGAGAAAAGAACAAAATATATAAATAAAACCAAAATTAGGAAGAGAAAGTAGAAGAAGAGGGAAAAAAAAACCCCATCCAGAAGTCTGCAGGGCTTTGACACAGTACATTCCTCAAGTGACAACTGAGTGCTGAGTCTTAATGAGTTAGTTAGCTCTCAATGAAGAAAAAAAAACTGGAGCGGGTGGCACAGGAAAAAAAAAGAGAAAGTAAAAGTCACACTCTCTTCAGGGACTGGTGACTGTTCAACGTGTGGTCTCCAGAATCAGTGCTACGGAAGACACAACGGTAGATCCAGAAGGCTAGTCTATGTTCCTCCGTGGTCAACATGATCAATAGGATGGGCTATGAGGACTTGAAAGCAAAATCTAATTGCCTGCACAAAAAGAAAACACAAATATATTAACGAACATGCAACAAGACAGATGGGCACGCCTGCCCAAATGCCTCCTCTTAGATTTCCCAGATGAAACACTGCTGTTCCTTGGCTAGTGCAATTGCTGATTCACATCAAAGAGCTGAACTTATCTCTGTCCTGGTGAAGAGGTGACCTGGCAGCAGGTTGATGGAATAAAACCTCTTCCCATAAAGGGGAGAAGGATTTCCTAAAGGACAGAGGACAAACTAGCAAGAGATGCAATTCTCACAGGAAAGGGTGGCTGAATGGCAGATGCAGGCGGATGAAGCATATTGCCACACTGGCTGGTTTACCTGTCTTGGGCAAGCAAGACAAATGCAGTCAGCAGTTCTCAGAAGGTGAGACCCCTTTGCCTTCCTTGTCCCTTTTCTTTACCTCACTCTGTTTCAAAGGCCTGCTTCCACAGTGCCATGTTGTGTTTTTTTTAATCTGCTCTCCTCCAGCTAAAATCACATTGAAGTGGATGCCCCCTCACTGGCTGTGTTTTATCACAGGGAACACAACCATCAATGGCAGTTGTGAAAACCCAGCATCTCAGCTGCCTTCACAGTTTTCATTCCATAGGGACACAGTTTTCCATTTTGTGTGGAAAATATTGGAGTGTTTTGAATTCCAGTTACTAAACTCCACGAAAGCAATTTTACAATCTGGCCAGAAAATTGGGTGTATTTTGTTTTTACATAAAAAGAAAATCTCAACAGAATGCAACAGATTTAAAGCAAGAGGAAACCGAAAGTATCTGCACTTAAGAAGCAAAAGAATTTTTGCTGCTGGAAGTACAAGTGTCAGGTCTTTAAAATGAGTAACCACTTCTCACCCTGCCTGGCAAAATTACATTAAAACATGCTGGTTTAAGTAGTTTTTTAAAAGAGGTCTTTTTTTCCTTTTTCTTCAAAATTGAAAAGCTTTCACAAGTAATACTGCAGAACTGTTTTTACTAAGCTGTCATGACTTGACAGGATCCAAATTTAGCATCCCATATTCCGAACAAGTTGTTCTCTGAGAAATTTGGGGGTGAGGAAGAGTTAGTGTTTGAAATCAGCAAGTTATTGTTCAAAGTGACAAAAAGTGATGTGAGTGACAATACAGTAAGTGTGACTTGTCCAAGTGAGTGAGCTGTTTTGGATCTAGAATAAATGCAATTATTAAAACCCCCTGATATACAAAGTTACTAAATCATTTCTGAATTTGCTGTCAGGTGCAGAGTGGGACCAAACTATTATAGATCAAAGAACCAGCCTTAGAGCCATCAAAATATAGATTTCACCTTTCTGACACTGTGCCTGGCACAGCTAAAACACAATGTCTATTCTAGAGGATGTGTCATGAAAATCCTCCTCCTACCCACCACAGAACAAGCGGGCCTGATCCTGTCACTTTGCTAAGGTCATCTCATCACTTGAAAGGACTTTAAAAGGAATCTAATCTATATACTCTGTTCAAAAAGAGTAATAAAATCTTTAATACAAATAAAATTCAAGCCTAAATGTGTTCAGAGGTTTACCAGATAAAGCTTTATCCTGTGTGATCCAATGTGGACAACCACATTCCTGTAGCAGTCACCTCCACCTAGCAACCCAGGGGATGCTTTCACTCATGTGACTTTCCATCTGTTTCCTGTAGGAGTTGGAGGGCAGCTTTTCAAGCAGGTCATGCTCCATCCTGTTTGCCATACTTGCAGAGAGGCCTTTAGACTGTAGCCATGCAGCCTAACCTGGCCCTCCTGGCCCTCACGCCCACAGTTGCCTTGATAATCCAACGTATGGGGCTGATTTCAAAAGTGAATTTGGTTCTCACAGCTGGTGAGACTGGATCACCGTGTCTGAAGCATTAACACTGCTGCTTAAGGTAGCGCTGTCACTATGCCCAACACCCAAACTATGCAAAACCAGGAAGGCTGCGTGCACAATCCCATTTCCTTCTGCTCCTCCTCCCATAAAAACAGTGACAGAACAACCGAGACTGATTTTTCTAAAACATAAATATTGGCTCTACTGTTTTTCATGAGAGGGCAGGAAAAGTCCTGGGTTCTTCTTGGTACATTTATGAATGTACTTTACAAGGTTATTCTTACTTTCTATACAATCTATATGAATGGGATTTTCCACCCAGAAAAAGAAGAGCATCCCTGCTGCTCTTGGTGCAAAGCAGGGTCAAGCTCTTAGCACTGAACTGAGTGAGCTCCAAGACACACTCCTGCACATTGTCTGCACATCCTAACACGCAGCAGCTTGAAAGCAAGACAAGGTTTTGAAACAGTTCAATTTTCATTGTCATCAAATAGAGCAAACAATGGGAAACACTAAGCAGTTAGTTTGGGAAACCAGCACAGGTTCATACAAACTAGTTGGGAACCCCAAATAATATATACCACAGCACTTTTTTTTTTTTAACCCAGCAGTGATGAAATCCTAGCACAGTTTAAGAAATAAAGCACTATGAACATGTTGGACACTGTACTTCCACTGACCTTCTTTCATGTGGCAAAGGGAATTGCTTCTTGAAAGAGAAAAAAAAAGTCTGAAAGCTCCACAGCCACGATTGTCACAGCTGACTACTGGCAAGATGTTCACAAAATGTCTCTAAGTGGTAGGCTTCAGCACGACACAACAACAGCCAATAAACTCCCCAAAAGTCCAGTTTTGCCCAGTAATCCACGAGTTGGGTCATTTCATGTCTCAAGCCCATAAATGAGTAGATCACTAATCGGCAGGCACTGATTAGCCCAATGATACTCTCACTGAGGTTTCTGCAAGGTATTACTGATGCATCAAGTCTGCAAAAAATATCCTAGGGCAGATTCTTCATTCCAGTGAAAGATGCACAACGGTGGTTTCACCCACAAATAAAACACTATGGTTGTAATCCTATGGGTCACAGGGAGAAGGAAAGTAATTTTGTTTTTGTTTTTTAAGCACAGTATCTGGCAGCAAACATAGCATCAAAACTTGAATGTGACTTTATATTTATATAGATACATGTATTTTACATATCGTTGATCAACAGAGAAGTATGTTCCAAGAAACAATTTGTTCCAGGTCTGGTTTAAAATGACGGCTTGTCATTTCTGGAGGCTCCCCTCCCAACACACACGCTCGGTTTCCGCAATCTGTACATCAAGCAATACTGCAGATCTTTATTTCGACGGGCGAGGAGACGAAGTAAAAAAAGTGCAGTTCTTCAATTAAAGTGCATGGATGAGGTAAACTAATTTCAAGAGTTTTGAGTTTATTCAGTACTGGCTCAGACGGGGACCATCCTGCCGTGCATCTGTTGCATTTGGGTGCGCATTGCTTGAACGCTGCTCAGTATCTTGTTCTGGTGCGTGATGGCAGTGATCCCAATCCTTGCCAGGTCACTGTGGAAAGCAAGAGAAGTAGGGGGCTAAGAACCATAGATAAGATGCTGGCGCAGAAAAGAATATTGAGAGTCAACCACAAGCAACATAGCAAAAGCAAGGCAGATGTACAGAAATGTTTAATTAAATAAGTGAAGGCATTATGGAGGCATTTTAAAGTTATCCTCCATCCAAATGAAAGGCATTCCATTCCTTTAATGAGCGTAATGATATGCAGCACAAAGAAAAAGAGGTTGATTAAATCCAGATTTACCAGTTTTTTTATTATATCACTGAGTACTTACTCCTGGTTCATATGCACCACAGCCTCTAGGGTGGTATAGCCAGCAGCTGTGAAGTTATCCTTGTATCGCTCCATTTTAATGGCTTGGAGCCAGTCACTGACAGAAACAACCGCCGAGAACTCAGGGGAGCTGGGATCCAGCAGGGCTGTGCTAGGTCTGGATGCCAAACAGTGAAAGGACAGAGAAATGGTGTCAGCTGGATGACGAATCACAAATCAGAGTTTGGTCTCTGAAACAATTATCCTCAACGAATAGGGAAAGTAAGGGCAAGACGTTGTGCTCAGTAAACTGGTGGCTCTCTGCACAGCAACGTACATCAATGCAAGAAACTTCACAAAATGCAAAGTAATAGGCCAAATTTTGCTAAGAATTTGACTTTAGGTTTCTATTTTTGCTTTCAGATCTAATTTGAACCACAATGCCACTTACAATTTCCACCTCAGATACAACCAAGTTCATAGAAAATACTTTTACTTCAAAAAAACAAAGAAGATGGCAATGCTGGAAGGCGTTCAGTCTACTGGGTCTGTATCTCACAGGCAGCAATGCAAGACCTTGCCAATCCTGCATGTGTCAGACCTCAGCTCCGCAACTATAGAAACACTACTGAAGTATGTGCAAAGGAACTGGGAGCTCACAACCTGCCAAACTGGTTTGAGGGCAAAACTCAGGGTGGGTTCAGATAAATCTTGTTTCCAGCCAGGTTTGCAGGCAAGTTCAGTGCATTCAATCAAACTCGGGACAGCAGGGAGTTAATCCCCTCTTTAATCAATCCATTCCTGACCAGCGCGTGTGCCAGAAGTGGCAGGAATCATGCGAGCTTTGATCTTTGTTTGCACTGTGGAATGTGCTTCTCATTTTCCCTTGCACAAATTTGTGAATAATTATTTTTACCAAATTTGCTTCTTAATATCTCATTATTTCATGTCTATTGTAAATCACAGTTTCATTAAACCATTATAAATGGCTATCTATCTAACCAAAACAATTATAATCTAGCAATTTATTTGAAAATGCACATTATCAAAGATTAGGTGTGCAATAGCATAGTTATGTCTTGCCTAAGGCACCCAGTACATGCTGGTACTACTTGGTACAAGTCTTTTACTGTGCTATCTAACACAAGGCCAATGATGGCAACCTAATTATATACAATTATGCTTCACGCATAAAGTTGTATATTAATAATGTTATATATTTGAAATTCGTATTCCAACAAGAAGAAAAATAATAGCCATGAACACGAAATGATCTTGAACAGGCTCTTAATTTTTGTAAAATCTATGTATTTTCAAAGAGCACCTGTAAATTGGAAAGAAAGCAAACTGGAGGAGATCATGCTGTGATTCTCAAATCAAATTATCACAGCAGATCATATTGTGGTCCTCACTATGTAAATTATTTAAGTCTCAAGGGTGGATACATTTTTGCCAGGCTACCAATGCAATTAGGGCAATCTGGAGATAATGTGGTGATAGTGGTCCCACAAGGTTAATAGTCCCTCTTCTGATATTCTACATTGTAAGGAAGATTCACAAAGGGACCTACAAGTTTAAAAACAAAAATAGCTTTTTCCAGGAAGTTGTTCTGTTGGAGGCTAAAGCAGAACTTCTGTTGCTCCTTCACTGATTCAAGAAACTTAACCTTGTATTGCCCTGTGGATATTTTTGTATCTCCCCTTTTACCAAAAAATATTTTCCTATTATCTTCCTCTTGTTTCTCTTCTTTTAAGCTTTTTTCAGTATTTGCTGTAAGCAAATTTACCTGACAAAGCAAAGGCATTTGAAAAAAATAGAACAAACCTGGTGTAAATTAGCCAAGCTCCTATTACTTCAGCAGTGTTTCACCAGCTTAAACAAACTGCTGATCTGTCTCAACAAAGATATTTCGGTTTTACCCTACAACGCTGGGAGTTTCCTTCCTACTGTGCTTCTTTCGCACGTAGCAGGTATACTGTGCTTAGCAAACAAAACAAAACACCAATGTAATGCGGGATCGGTGGAGACATGAAACTGGCTTTCCACAAAATTAAATTCAAATTCACATAAAAATTAATCCACACCTTCCCAATGCCCGTGAGGCGTTGGCTGTAATGCCGTAATGCTCATTTGCAAATCCTACACAAATCTAGGGTTTATAAAACTTGATGATGTACTTTTCCTGCAGAAAACCACATCACTCCTGCTAGCTACACTGCATTAAGGCTACCCATTCAAGCCCCTTCACTAGGGGGGAGAGGGTAAAGATGCAGCAAAATTTGTCTTCAAACAGGGCTTGCCCGCAGCAGAACTTTTGCTTAAGACTGTTCTATGAACCTGGTGTGACACAGGAAGAGCTCTGCTCTTTCCATTTTCGTTCTCACAGAGCTAGGAGAGTTGGGGGTGCCCAGTGACCAGCACGACCCCTCTTGCACAGTGCAATGTCTGCTGTGCAGTCAGGCTCTGCAGAGCCACAGAGCACACTTTAAGCCTAGCACAGAGGTTTAGGTGATGTGCAGCTTTGCCTGTCATCTCCATTGTGCTCCCTCATACATCTCCATTACAAAAGCACAGCTGACCTGGAGCTCTCACTGCCTGTCCTCTTCAGGCTGTTGGGGTTGCGGATGAGTTTGTCCAGCATGTTGACAATCTGTCCAAATTTAGGCCTGTCGCTGCGTTCCTTCTGCCAGCAGTCTAACATCAGCTGATGGAGAGCAATGGGGCAGTCCATTGGGGGTGGCAGCCGATATCCTTCTTCAATGGCTTTAATAACCTATAAATGGCACAATTAGGAAGACATTAGAGAACATCAGACACTACTCAAATCTACCAGCTGAGTATCATTTATCCTAGGGCGATCCAAAGTATGGAAACAAATCCACAATTAAGTGAAACAACATGGAAAACAGCACTCTGGCTCAGACAGTTGGTGGTCTCAGAACTGTCATTTCTCCTCAGCAATTCAAAACTAAAAGGGTAGAGCATCCAAAGCAGATATACAGCAGGGCAACGTGTCACAATAAAGCACACGGGATACAGGGATGACAAAATAGCCCAGGTCAGAATTAAGCAACTATATTGGACAGAGGGTTGGAGAAGCAACAGTTTTGGGTGCTATATGTTGAAGATGTTTTCCCCATCATTTTAGGACACAGCAGATCACCCCGTTGTCCCCCTCCTCCCTGTCAGTAATACAGGCCTTGTAGTGAACCTGTTTTCTCACCACTGTATGCTCTGAGCCAAGAAATGCAGAGATGGGAACCCTTTTGTGCAGCTTTATCAAGAGTGTACAGAAGCCCAATGCAGTAACTGAAGTATGCGTTTCATACTTAATAGAAACCAGAAAAACTCACAAGCTGAAGTAATTTCAAACCCTCCAAAAAGGGCTCCAGAGCTCAGCACTCTAATGGCTTCTTAGCCCTCTCAGGAGAATGGGATGTGACCAGGACTCAATTCCGGTATGACCCAGAAGCCTTCAGATTTTAATTAATCGATACGACTTTGCTGGCAGGATTCACCATGAGACTGAATTGCACTAAATTCCCTTGTTCTGGTCTTGTCCAATTAGTGGCTAAAATCCACTGGGAGGACAGGGTGAGGGATATGCTTGTACTAACAGCAGCTATTCAGTGACTACAAACAAAGTGGCTCTCACTACTCCAGAAAGCATAAAGGTCCTTTTGATTTCTCTTGATTTAACAGACACAGAATAATTTGAAATTCACTTCTGCTTTGTTGTGAATAACACTGCTCTCAACATCATTAAGGAGAAAAAAATGGTATGTCTATGCCATGTACTAAAAAGAGGGTGCAAAGACAGTAATACTGGCTTTCACTGTCCTGTTCAAGCTAGCTTTTCAACATGGTCTAGCACATGTTAGCAGCGTAAGCCTAATATGCTAGCTCTGTGATTGTTGCATTGAGCTCCACTGTGCAGCGTAGACATGCCTGATATAACTGAGACACATCTGGTGTTTTATTTTCTTGCTAAATCTTGATGACTTCCTGTTAGCAAAGGAAGGCAAGACTGGGTGCCAGAAGAGACATTTCACATCAGAAGGAAATTAAAATTATATCCCCCATTTAGATTAAATGCCATCCGCATCTAGACACTCTTTGAAAATGTTCAGCTCCACATAAGAAAGCAGATGAGTTGTAAAATGACTTAACCACTCCCTGACCATATATTCAGATTAACATTTTATTCTTCCTTTATATGTTTGTAGATCCCCTGGGAAAAGAATTACGGATAATCTATGCCTCATATTCACTGGGATACTTTTTTTTTTTGTTTAATAAGAATTCTATTAGCAAAAGCTCTTATTAGCATTATTATTAAATACTCTTCTAGAATAGCAGCCATTGTGCATGCTCCCCCTTGGAATACACTGAAGTAGTCCAGATGGTACGGTTAAACAGGACATGCATAATTTAAGAATGGTCATTTAGGAAAGCTGCTTTTTAATGTCCTCAGGGGGCAGCTATGCAATTGTCACAAGGATACTCTGACTGATAATCAGAATTGGATTTCATATGTGTTGTTTTAGATATCCTACAAGAAATAAAATCATCTGGAAGAAATTACAAGTGTACTGGGGCTTGAAGAATTAGCTACTAATAGGAAAGCCCCATTAAATTAAAGTGTTTTTTCTTAAAGACTTTCAATGAAGTTGAGATTTAATATCAACATTCAAATCTTCCCTCTCTTGACAGTATTACGATCTGACAGTTTAAATATATTTGTCTCCTTTTTTTCATTCTTCTTTTTTACTTCAATTGCTTGTAATATTTTTCCTAATATATATTCAAAAAAGAAAAAAAAGAAAGGAGAAAAGATAGACGCATAAGTTATAGACTAACTTAAGAATTCCCTATTTCCTGACCATAGACCAGGCTTGAAATATTCAAGGAAGTCTCAGCTCCAGAGAAGTTCCCTGAGAAAACAGGAATCTACCACTAATTATATCCTTCTAAAAGACTGGAGTAAATGTCTTATAACTATATAACAGTTGAAACACATCAGCAGACATCTAAGGACAAAGATAAAGGCATGGGGGGAAGGAAGAGAAAAAGAAGAGGAAGCTCAGGAGGAGACTCACATCTTGATTGGACATATCCCAGTAAGGTCTTTCTCCGTAGGACATCACTTCCCACATGACGATGCCGTAGCTCCACACATCACTAGCTGATGTAAATTTACGGTAGGCAATTGCCTCTGGTGCAGTCCACCTGATGGGGATCTTGCCACCCTGCCACAAATGAAAGAAACCGCGGGCTGGTGAGTCACTGACACAGTAAAGTGTGTGGCTGACACTGTTCTATGCTGCCATTAAGAACGCAAAATGGTTTTCTGTACGCAATTCCAGACTCCTTCTTGAAAAGGCATCCATTTTTCCTTCTTCTTGCCATAAAACTGTCAGATCCAACCAGGAGGCAATGCTGCCCATCTGTTTTCTTTAGTCACAAGGAGGCGAACCAGTAAATTGTTAAATGTATTTTTATCAGCCCTCTAAGAGATCTCTGCTTAGGGCTATGATGAAGCATGAGAACAAGCCAGGGGTTTTACATAGTATATATTAGAGATTTAGTTGACAAAACAAATAAGTACATGCTGGCTGTTAATTACTATTTCCTTGCTTGCCTGTCTGACCTGTTTGGCCTGTTTCAGAAAAATGGGATTATAAACATTTTACTTTTCGAAAAGGTAAAATAAAGAGAGGATAAACTGGGAAGATTTATGAATACTGTGGTGTTTCCCATGGGCAATATCCCAACTCCTACCAGAGACGTGAGACAGCAAGCAAGCCTCTGGGCTCTCCTAGTCCCCGTGGGAGGAGCTCAACACCACACCATGGCACAAGGCTGCTTTTAATATTTGTTGGAGAGAACTGTCTCTCGTTACAATACTTCTTTTTAAACAAATAAAAACACTTGGGCATCTGATTTGGGCCACTGAAGTCCTGCACTGTTTTAAAAGGAACTCACTCCATCCTGTTTATCTGATTTTGCCTTAGCTGAGTGATCACAGGCCAGAGATTTCTCCTTTTGTTTATGCTAATATACAAGGTGTTTTTAATTGAGCTTTTGGTTTCCTGCAGTTCCATCTGGGGACCGACTTAAACTGAACAAAGGTTTTAGGGTTTTTTCATTTGCTTTTATGCTTTGTTGATTAAGTTTATTTTGTTAGTTTTTTTCTCAGCAATCTTCCAGATAGTTTTTATCCAGAACTGAATGCAGCCTGTGCATACTCAATGGTTTATTGTTCTAATATCTCTCTCAAGTGTTTAATATGGACTTGTTCCAAAGAAAAGTGAAATGAAAAGAGGTCCTTCTCATGGCTTCTTTGCCCTTTCCATCAGGCCCTTGGTGAATCAGGCTGAAGCAGTATTGCCTCATGTGGCTATAGGTTGCTCTCACTTTAATGAGTTATACTACTAATGGGGAGCAGAACACACCATCTCTTAAAAAAAGACACTTTAAAAATTGCGTTCTACTGCGTCGTCTCTAGTTATAAAAAAGCTCTATTTCTCCTTTCAGACACAGATGCATGGACATTGTTTATACGAGGTTGTCATTCTAAAAATTGTCAATAAGCTCTTTTTATTTAGCTGCTCAAGTACAGTGGAGTTCATCCAAATTTTCCTGATCCTTCATTACTGATACCAAATGAAGACAATGCACTGTAAAGCAAATGTCATTGATTCCCTGTAGTTTACTCTTGAGAGCAAACATAATACTATATCTCCACTCACTAAATTCAAAGGGAAGCTTTTCAATCGTTTCTGTCTTGCCCTTGTGTGTTCATCTAAGCTTTGATTTCCCTGAATACAGCTTTTCAGACTTCTGCTTCTTCCACTTGCCATCCTTACGAATGAGAAATACCAATGCTGGCCAGCATTTAATACTACAGGAGCCTATCCTTCCCTGTAACGAACTGTGAATCCATTAAGGGATGAGTGTTGGGATTAAACTGCAAAATCTGAGTGCTGCAAACAAACTCTGCACTAGGGAGAACAGATGGAGAATGGCAGATATTTAAAACTGAAAAAAATAAGCAATTAAAAAAGGAGACTTTATAAACTCTGACTATTTCTTTTTTTCTTCATGTGCATGTTAATTACAGAGGTATTGGTAGAAAGGCTGGTAATGGTCAGGATGTTGTTTTGTGGCCAGAGGTACTTACATTAGTACTATTCTACATGCAGCATATTAAAATGGCTTTAACAAAATTAGTTAACAGTGGGATGCTGAAATATAGATAAAATGTGAAAGAAAAAAAAAAAAAGGGAATGCAGGTTTCTCACTTTTCCCAGTCCAAACTATTTAGGTCAAATTTATGACTAGCTTTGCAATGGGAAAAAATGGACTTATGGGTTTGATACACTTTCTGTATCAAACCTCAGTGGGACTAGCCACTTGGAAATCATTATACATGTCTGTAGATATCAGAAGGAATAGAAGGCCAAGCTCTAATTTCTGGCATCAGATTCCTGTCATGCACTTCAGCACACTGAAGGAACCAGAGGAATACATGGGTCACATCCTCAGAGAAAAAATACCGATGCAGGCACTGATGTTGTAGCAATACCACTACATTAATTTATACAAGCTATGGAGTCCGGGCCAATGTTTGTATTTAGGCCATGATATATGTTTCATTGTGACTGGGATTATTTTAAACAAACCATTGTCACCTCCTACACAGTCAGACAAAACCAATACGTAGGCAAGAAAACCCACTGGAGATTTTCTTTCCCTTCTTACCCGTGTGGTATAAGCTGCTTCAGGGTCGTCTTCCAGGACCCGGGACATGCCGAAGTCAGACACTTTGCAGACCAGGTTGCTGTTGACTAGTATGTTTCGAGCAGCTAGATCCCGATGCACATAGCTCATATCAGACAGATACTTCATTCCTGAGCCAATGCCACGAAGCATCCCCACCAACTGGATGACTGTAAATCTGCCATCATTCTTCTGCATATGGGGAAAGGAAGAAAATCACAGAGCATTAAGCTAAAAGCTACATTATTGCCATTGCTGTAATTGGCAAAGAGCATATCTCTGGATTCCCATCTTCTCCCAAATAACATGCAATGCTATTTCCTCAGTCTCCTGACTACTGTCTATAATTCACCAGTAAAGTAAAAACTCAGAGGTTCTGTCACAGCTTCCACTGATGCAGTATCCAGTTTGCAATGAATCTTGTTTTAATGAGTCTATAGCATTGCAATGTTTTCAAAAATAGAGCAAATCAGAGCTGTTCCCATTAAAAATGGATTATTTAAGAGCCTGCTATTTTAAAAATTACATTTATTTTATATTCTTCCACTTTACATTTATTCTGGTTTTCAACAGAGGGAGGCAAAACCGGGAAACAGAATTTCCTAAGTACAAACATAATTTAATTTAAATATGCTGAATTTTCAGTATCTTTCTGAAAAAAAAAAAACAAACCAAAAACAAAAACCAAAACCCAAACGAAAACCAGAATGAAAACCAGAAAATGTCTCCCAGTATAAAATCTCCTTAGCTTATTACGAAGAAATCACCTACCCTGAGGAAAGCATCCAAGGAGCCATTCTCCATGTACTCAGTTATGATCATTACCGGTTTACCTAGAGTTCGCAGAAAGAAAAACACAATTCCTTGATGAACACCGATGTTAATGGGATAAAAATGGGTTGCACATGATTTTACTGCCAAGACACCTGGCTTACACAATCTAATTTAATTTGAAAAGCACCAAGCTTATGCCTCAGCTGTGGGGAGCAAGAGAAGAAATATCACAGGACAGAAACATTCAAAGGGCCCCATCTGGAAGGTTAACCCTTTGGTTGGCTCATTGACAAGGTCTTTAAGTAAAGTGCCTCCTGTTCTCTAAGGAGTATATGAATTGATAATTGAGAGCTAAGAAATAAAGATCTGTTCAAACTTGACAAATATCTTTAGTGTAATTAAATTGCCTGCAGACTAGAAAGCCTTCCTCTTTCAAAATGGAATTTGCGAATGCTTTGGTCTCTCTGACTCTTTCGAAAGATCAACGCTTTAGGCGAGTTAGAAGCTGTCAGCAGCTACAAGGTATTCCAAGACAACTGGGTTCAAGAATGAAAAATACAGGCTGCTCCTCTCAACTTTCTGTCCTGAATTTGTATTCCATGTCTCTCGTTATTTATAAATGAGCCAAAGCCATTTGCCTCATGAAGCCAACCACAGGATAAATGATTCAATGAATGGTGTCACACGTGGGGCATAGTGCTTCAGCAGCGCTCAGCTTTCCATGCTGCAACACAGACAGCCAAGCTGGGCAATCTGAAGAGAAATATAATGTAATGTTCCTGACATAGGGATGCTTTCTGGGCACTCTCCTGTGTAAAACAACAGCAAATACATAAATAATGCTTGACATTGCCTTTAAGAGCTTTCCAAAGTCATACAACACTGAAACTGAAAACGTTTAGGTACATATAAGCATATAAGTAAAGCTAATTATTTCATGGGGTTAAATCATGCTGGATATTCAGCATCTAGAGACATATTTGCAGAAAAAGGTCGAATATAATCTCCATTCTCAAAGTAAGCATTCGGAGCTTGTTGGGAGTGACTTTATCAGAGGTCAAATAGCAAAAGCCTGGTCCCAAGATGAGCACTGTCAAGCCCACCTAAAATCAAGGAAGTGAGCACCTGATGATAGGATGGCAACCCTTCCTCCCAGTTATGCTTTACTTACAGAAAGTACAGAATTTCTTCCTAAATAAAAGACAGTGTCCCAGAGAAACTCTGCTTTTGTACTTCCTGGAGCAGCTCTGAAGAAGGGAACATTACAGGAGAAGAAGGGCTTAGTGGACATATCACCTAGACTGCAGATAGCTCAGTTCTGTCTTGTCATCAGAGGCACCAGAACTACTCAACTTTTCCTTGCTTCTGTCACCAGCAAGTACCTGCTCCAGAACAACCAGCTATAAAAGTTACCCTACCATGAAATGCTGCAGCATTGAAAATTCTCCTAATAATTTCTACCTCAGTATGGTTTTCACCAAGATGCTTTTCTCCTAATTTGTCAGGGATTTCTGGTTTTGAAGTAACCTTTATTATTATTATTATTATTATTATTCAATATGCCATAGAGACTGACTGTACTGAAAATTTTACATCATTTCACTTAGGCCAATATCCATGTGTGATACATCACTTATTTCACTCATCATTACTTATTTTACCTTTTCAGTCCCAATCTATTCTTCACAGGCCTTTTACTATTCCTGCTTCTCTCTCCCTTCCCAACTGATATAAAAACTGTTACTGTTTTGGTCCCATGCAAACTGGTATGCCTGTGAAATGCCAGACTGGCAGCTGAACCCCTTCTGATTTGCATGAATGCAGCAGAGAAGTGATGGTATTGCATAAAGTACATTGCTTTCGATGCAGGGCTTAGTAACCTTGGATGAGTATACACACCCTTAAGGATCATTCTCCCTTTAACTCACATTTGCAAGCTTTCTTTGATAGCAGAAAAGAAAAAAGGGAGAAAACTCCAACCAGATCTGCATATGTCACTCATTTATCCTTTGCAACTGTGACCAGAACCCTTCCACTGAACAAATACAGCTAAATGAGTTTTAATTAACCTTCCTCAATCAAAAGATACTATGTCAACATAGAAAGGGAGACTCTTTCAGTGCATTAACATGTAATTTCATTACTCAGGCAGTTCTTTAGCAGGGGAGGGGGATAGAGAGAGAAGTTACCATCAGTGAGCCAATTATTAAAGTACTTGACTAGCAGCCAATAATGTATTCATGAATTTTTGCTGCCTCTCCCAACCCCCATCTACGTAACTATTTATCTCACATTTTAATTTTCAGTTTATTAAATGCATTCATTTATCACAGCATTCAGAAAACCTATGGAGAAATTGAGATAAATGTCTTCTTAAGTAGCCCTGTTTACCAAACACACCAGCTCTGAGGTAACCAAGCTGGCTTGCTGCAGAAGCATCACTTACTGCAAACCAGGCAATGAAATGTTCTCGGGTCAGGCTACCACCTCCTTGGTGAAAATTTCAAATCATTTTAATTCAGTGACAACTGCATTATGCAGATGCATATAGTCATTTATAACTGGTAGAGCTGTAATAGCTCAGGGGGTTCCGGCCTCAACGGAATTTCAAAACAAAGATTCCCCTGTTGCCTTTCTTTTACAAGGGTGCTAGAAAAATTACTGTCTATAGCAAACATGGTGGCCTGACCGCAACCACCGCCCCTTTATTACAACAGTAACAAAAAGAAAGACTCAGGCCTTAAAAAATGAAACATTAAAAATTAATTCATTTCAGTTTGGAGGGAGGCCCTCAGTAAATGACAGTCAAAAGAGCAAGGGTAAGTTTTCTAAAAACACAAGTGACAGAGTGAGCTTTCAGCTCCCACTGACATCCAAGAGGGACAGGGTTTTTCAGTGGTATTGATAGCTTTGACAACCCTGTATAGAAGATACTTTACACTATTATTTTACTTTTTAACTAATTTAAATTCCTCACACTACTAATACCCTCCATCTATGTTCATCATGCACACCATTAGATGCAGGTAAGCTTCACAAATTCCACCCTTCAACAGCAGCTCACAAGATGACTGCCTTCTTTGCTTTGTAGGGCAGTTGGAATAGGGACAGTAACTACACTATTGTGATGGCACCTTATCAAGTCAAACCCAAGCACATCTGTCTTACAGGTGTATTTTCAGTTCTAGGCTACCAAGAGAATCCAGCAAGCACTGTCATTCTCTTTCTAAGGCAGGGTTCATGGCACAGTGCATGCTAACAGACTTAAAAAAACCCAACCAACCAAACAAAAAGATTGGCCAGGTAAATTCTGCAGAGTGGAATTATCACACCTGTAACTCAGAGAAAACAAATAAGCAAGTTTCACTCTAAAATAGCCTACTTTGTTTCAAAGGCTTGCTCCTTACACCTGTGCTTTGTAACTTAAACATATGACTCTGTATTTTTGTTTTGGTATTTTTCCCCCAACCATTTTAATTCTTCGCTCACCATCTGCTTTTGCCTATCCTGTAACAATCAGCTCAGCCAAGTGAAGATGTGAAAGATGTCTGCTTGGCATAGGAAAAAGAGAGGGAAAAAAAGGCAACCCCTGCAGTATTAATTCCCCCTACAAAATTACACAGAAGCTTCCTACGGTCAGAGTATCACTTGAAACCATAAACCCATTTATAGCTGACAACAAGATTAATGACTTGTCCTGCACTGATTTCCTCCTATTAGCTATCAGTGGATCTGTTCCATCTGTCATTTCCCAGGAAAGAGGGTAAGAAGAAAAAAAGAACCAGCACACACCAGTGACTTCCAAATTGGCCTTATCATGAAAATGACCTACTTACATTTAGTAACTACACCTTCCAAGTGGATGATATTGGGGTGGTCAAATTGTCCCATGATACTGGCTTCACTCAGGAAGTCTCTCCTTTGTTTATCAGTGTAACCAGCTTTTAGAGTCTTGATAGCAACACAGATCTCTCTTTTTCCTGGTACTTTGAGACGTCCACTGCATACTTCACCAAATTCCCCTTAAGGAAAAATGCACAAGAATCCATGGTCATGAACATGAAGCGCGCACTTTGTTGTTGTCAAACTGTTATGTCAGTACATTTGGGGGAACTGTCATACAAAAATCACAGGATCCTAAGTTTTCTAAAAGCAAATTTAAACGCATATTTACAGGGGGGGGAAAAAAAAGCAAAACTTCTGGCACTTACCCACACCAATAACTTTTTCAATCTTTATACAGGAGGCATCAATTTCTTTGGCAAATTCCCTCACAGCTTGGTTTGGATCCTCATATGTAAAAGGATCCACATATGTTCTAACACCTGCAAGGCAGAAATGTTTTATCTGAAGTCACTGATCTACATGCTGCTAAACACAGAACATATGAGACTGAAGCCTTAATGATATACAACAGCAAAGAGAGTGTACAATAAAAATGTACTGTAAGCCAGGAATTACTGATGAAGGAAGGAAGGACTTAATGTATTTTTCCCCCAGTGCGAATTTTAAAAATGTAAACATTTAATATTTCCTTACATCAATATTCAATAATCAATATTGATGCAAGGGATCAGGCTTTTGCCAATAAATGAGCTTCACAAATCACTGCCATCCCTAACAGACCAATAGCCTGTCTACGGACCTGTGAGACTGAAGCACATCCCATTTCCTTTTTGGGAGCTAAGAAATTCTGAATTCCAGTCCTAAGTTTGGTACCTGGATGACTGAGATAGAAGTAATAGTAGGATTCAGTCCTGGAAAAAAGGCAGCAAAGTTCACATTCCCTTTCCTGCAGGATTGCCTCCAACCCATCCAAAACTGCTTTAGCAGAGTATTGTGGGAAAAAAATCAAGTTTATGTATCACTGGTCAGAAGCAGATGTTCTTCAGTGGAAAGGAACAACAGAAAATTTGATGAATCTTTGTCTTGTCTGTCCCATCAAAACTTTTTACCCAGATACTTCTATTTTTGCTGTTACTAAAGTACTTATTTTTGAAGAATGCTTGTAAAAGAGGCAAACAGAAACATATTCATCCAAAGAGGAATATCATCCCTTATTTCACAAGCATCAGAACATGAGACATGTTTTACAAACCAAATCAAAAAAACCCAAGCACCACTGCCTTTTACCTTGGTTCAAATGTTTCTCCTCATCTGCCTCTTGCTTGGCCTTACTGTACTTACTGCGCCTGTCAGAACAAAACACAGCATTATAGCTCCAAGTAAGTATCTTACTTTGAGACAAGCTCAGTCTTCTTGACCTGCTGAGACTTGAGCTGTTTGCACCTGCCACGACCTGTGCTCCGCAGCTCCCCTCCAACAGTCCATGACACAACATACACTTACCAGAGGGGTAGGAGACTCCTCAAACTGCTCTAAGTGTTATTGGCATCAACAAAGCATCAAGGGAAACACAAATCTATTTTGCATCTCGGCATTTAAAGAAAGAAAAGAAAGCTTGTGTTTTGGTTACCTTTTCTTCAAACATATATTTGCAATTCCGTGCAAAAAGGGACCAAATTGCTTTTTAGCCCTACCATATGCGGATTTAAATGCTACAACAAAGGTGTTTTGGTAGATTGATTTTCAAACACAGTTAGGCAAATGCCAATACCAGCATGCTTACTTAACTGCATATTTAAAACTGGCAATAAGTCTATTAACACAGAAATCAGGATCAGCAAAATCAGAAAAAAAAACCCCACCCCAAACCCAAACCCCCCCAAAAACCAAAAAAAACCCCATAAACCCAAAAACCCTCTAACCATAAAAAAGGCAGATCTGAAGGATTTTATTTATTCTCTTAATCACTGTATAACTAAATGGGGGACAAAGAACTCCTGATTGCAGGGCTGTTCTACTAACCCTCTAGTTGGAGACAATAATATAGTATAGTATGTTAATTCTATGGATCACTATTTCTACACCTACACACATGATATTGTATCCAGTTATGTATTTAATTAGTTCAGCTTTAAACTTCAATGGATAAGTGGCATTAAGAAAAGTTAATACAAGAAGTTAGTCTGTTAGGAAAGATATTGAAGAGTCAGCTCAGCCAAATGTGCACTGGGATTTAAAGCTCCCCAGCATCTAATGGTATGTAGATGTAGAGCTTTGATGTGGGCTTTTACCCATTATTCACTGAAAGTTCAGAACCAGACATAAGAACAGGCATTGCCCAAGAGAAGCGCTTATTGTTGCTTACTCCTCAGTTTGCCTGTTCCTATGGAAGTCCAATTCTCCCAGCATGTCAGACCCAGGCTAGCTACTTGGAAGAGTCTGGACTAGAGTGAAGAAGAGAAAAGGCAGAAGGAGAAACCAAGCGTGGAGCACAGGAGGCAAGACTGGCACTGCCTGAAATGTACAATCTGCTGCCTGGAGAAGGGCGGGAGATGACCAGGCCTGCCAGAGACACTGGGGTGAGACTGGGTTAGAAGTCTGAAAATGGTGAATGGGTAGAGCAGGAAAATGGGAGTGGGTGAGAGAAAGACCTATCAGCAGATATGAGTTAAAAGGGGTCAAAACCTCACAGATAAAAGGAGAAAACACATGACTGAGAGCCTCGCTTGCAGCAAATCTTCCTGAGTCTCACCATTCCCCCCCTGTGAGCAAAGCCTTTGTGCCCATTAGCAAAAAGCATCTCACTTCCCACTCTGTGCCTGGCCTGCAGGGAATGGCAGCTTCCCGTCGCTGCCAGCTGAAAGGCCATTTCCCAGCCTTTGTCTTCACCATCTTTCAGTGCTGGGTGTTAAACACACTACACCAATAATAAAAACTATAAATTAACCATGAAAGAAAAGGGAAAAAAAAATTAATCCTGTTTGACATGTGAAGGCTACCTGATCTCTGAATGAAGCCTCACAGCTCCCAACAACATCAACGGGACTTGTGTTCAGACATAAAGAGCAGGTACACATCCAACCATAAACGGTTGGGAGCTTCTTTTCTTGATGAAAGTCAATTAAACTCAAATGGCTCCAAATCACAAGAAGAGCATTATTTAAAACCCCACTGGATCCAAACATCAATTTAAACCATTTATTTGCCCGAGGACTTACAGCACTAGTATAACAGTGCTGAGCTAAATAAAAGGACTATGTTCTGCTCCCAGTTACTGAACTGAATAAAAGGCAAGAGGCAGCACAAATCTCACCCAGTGCCATATTAGACCAAGGCAGCTAAGGGGATTGCAGAGATTGTTTCAAGTATTATACAACTTATCTCAGAGAAAAGAAAAAATAGAAAACAACACAAAAATAATCTGCATTTTAAGCAGGACTCCTCCAAATTAATTTTATTAATGTTCAGGCACAGATGGGGAACATGAAACACAAACAGCCTTTGCATGAAAGCATTTTAGGCATGGAAAAAATGCTTTTTATCTTATTTTTGAATGTACAATCACCCTAACAACAGATTAAAAAAAAAAATAACCTTCCCCCACTAAAACCCAAAGACATGAAAAAAGCAAAGGGAAACAAAGGGATTACTGTTCAAGCAATATAATTGTAGCTTATTAAGTTTAAATAATACCTTCCAAACTAACTACCTACTTCCACTTCTCCCTGTGTCACCTGCTGACCTCTCCTGCTTGGCTGGGGGCAGGAGGGTCCTGCCTGCCATTGTCCTGAGAGCAGCACGGGAGCCCCGCACCACGGGGCACGCGGGGCTGGAGCTGCCTCTCGGGGCAGCTCACCTGAGTGGCAGAAGGGAGCCTTTGTCGCAGGCTTCAACCCTGTAATTACAGGGATTTTGGTGGTGGTGATTAAATAGATGGCATTCAGGAAAAGAACAGAGAAGCTTTCAGAAACCATGGGGGTCAGAGGCACAGGCAGATCTACAGGTGGGGGCTGGTGATGAAGAGGAGGCTGAAACGGAGGGTGTTAGCAGGCACTGAAGTGAAATAGCACAGACCTGGCGCCACACCGCTGCTCCCCCCTCCTCCTCCCCAAACAAAAGAAGGGTCAGGGTGCTGCAGTGCTCTGACACCAGGCTGGTGGAGCACCAGATCCAACACCATCAGCAAAGGTGAGCAAACGTGTTCAGCTTTAGATGGAGCAGAAGACAAACGAATCTATCAACTGAAAGAATTTCTAACAGAAACTTTTACATGACCAAGAATTCAGTAGGGCCATCTTACTCCACCCCAAGCCCTTTTAGAAAGTGGGTCTTTCTGGTTTATGCTTTCCCAAATCCTTTACAACTCTGTTTGAGATATTGCAATTTCACTCAGTGGTTCCTGTAGGGCAGGGTTTAGAAACACTCATGCTACCTCCTGCACTCTGCTCTACGGATAAGCTCATCTGAACCTCAGTAAATTTAAATTAACATTTAGGCAGATTAGTTCTCATGTTAACAGAAACAGCGTGGTTGCAGGACAGAACCAAACAGCTTGAGGTGCCCGAAGGCAAAGTCCTTTGACAAATTCCGTTGTAAAGATGAATTTTGGGATTTGAGCAATGACTTGAAAACTGTAATGTTAAATTAGTAGTAATAACCCAGGGTTCAAAAGCAGGTTACTACAGCATATGCCCAGTTCCCACATTTGGCTCACAGATGCAGAAAGGCCATGTCTGCAGGCCAAAGCACAGGTTTGATTGTACAAATATGACTTTTAGGTCATGGCTAGATTACAAAACCTCCTCATGGGGACTCTATGGACAGAAAAGCTTTTTCTCATCTGAAGTCATTTTGGAACAAAGTATAATTATTTTGCTATTAACTTCTGCTGGGGTAGGAACATCATGAAATATCCCCAAAGCCCACACCTCTAAATTACATTGGTAAAGTGGTTAAAATGGTTAGAGTAATAGTGAATATTACAGTAGATGCTGTTTATTGACAGACAGCTACTGGAGAGCTGTGTATCGAGGAAGGATATTAATTACCAAGACACCATATATTAGTATGCACAGAGCAGTTCCACTGTCCTAGTATTTTATTCATCTTGCTATGTCTTTCCCCTTCTGTGGCCCCTCTGAGACCTACCAGTGCAGAGCTATGGGACACCTCTGAACCCATGGCCACCAGGATACTTTTATCTCTCTATTGTCACCAGTCTTGGACAGCCTTTGGTCCCTACCACCCACCTGTTCTTTGTCTTGTCTTTGTCCAAGTTGAACACTTGTGGGCAGAGAGAGCTGAACAGACAGCCTGAGTGGTGAGAAGATCTGGCTGAGCATGCGCCCGCATCAGTGAGTCTGTCAGCTACCTGGCTCCAGGCAGCCCTTCCTTTGACAGCTTTATGGCTGATACTAAAGAGAATCAATATGAGGGCAAGGGGCTGACATTTCATTTTCTAAAAAGTGATCCATTGAGGGCTAATCACCAAGCTGTGTTTATCAGCCTTGGGAAGTGACATTTTTTTATAGGGGGAGGAGGGGAAGGAATCATCTCAAAGCAGTTCGACAGGCTCAATTCTCCAAGGTGGCGACTCATAATTAGAAATCCAATGTATCCTGCTATCAATCCTGCCTTAAATAATAAAGTGATCAATAAAAGTGGAGAGCAGATTAAGTCATCAAGCTCAGTGATGCTATTTTCTGTTGCAATGGCTTTTAATAAACCTGTCTCTCCGCATTACATTTTCATGTGTTCTGCTCTTCTTTCTTCTTGCCAGCATGGAGGCTCTGAGTTGAACACCCACAGAAAGCTGTAACAATGCACTCCTACTTTCCAGATATTACAATCATAGTGACTTAACTGTTCTTTAAGACAATTTAGAGAACAAATCAAGAGGAATTTGTGGACATTTATGGCTGATACCATTAAACTGATCAGCAGGGACTGACAAAATGTGCATCCCTCAGATACCAGGCTTCAGACGCGGTAATGATACATCCAGTTTTATCTCAGAATTATAGTGAAGCAAAATCATGCCGTTTTTTTTTAAATGAGACTGAACACAAAGGTAAAGACAGAAACACTCACACCGCGTTTCTGCTACACTATCCTCCCATTCGCAGGATTGTTCCTGATGCCTGGGTTGAATTTGGGAGAACGACTAAGTACTTCATAGAAGATTATGGTCCTGCTCTGATGAAATAACCATCGATCCAGTCTGCTGCATTACTGCATATGATGCTGAATGACTGTGGCTTCTGTTTTACAGTCATATCCACTCACATTGGAAGGACTAACTCAAAAGACGAATGTAGACTCATACAGACTAACACCAAACCGACAAGAATTGCCATCTGATGGCTTAGTTCACAACACTGCAATTGTTTATTCCCTATCAGGAGTCAGTCCAAGAAAATCTACTGTACCCATACCCATTAAACTTAACTTCAAATTACACTAACCACAAATCTCTAACTGGCTTGCTACTCAATGCCAGTTATTGGAACCAGCTTTGCATTTGAAGGGCAAATAGAGCTGGAACTATTGCCATTACATCACATGCTGCTTGGTACTAATGTTGAGAAGATCAAAGCTACATGGGAGAAGGCTTGTAATGCAAATGTACTGTTTATGATGCTAATCAAAGAATTTAGCTTTGTTTGGTGGAGACAAAAAGCTCCCTCATGAAAGAAAGAGAGGGAGAGAGAAGCTTAAGTTCTTACCTCCTGCTGATGACAAAGGCTGCAATGAGAATGACCACAAGAACAACACTGCCAGCCACTGAAACAAGCAGCACTGTGGGATTGGTACCATCGCCAATGATGGGGGAAGGAACTGGAAACAGAAAAGGGAGCATTAGTGTCAGACACTCAGAAAATCAACCTAGGTAGCACTCAATGAGGCTTTCTGGGTTGTGAAGGCAGTTTAGAGTAGCACTCAAATCTACTTTCAGGCCTTTATTATACAGTCATTTGACACAATTTTCCAACAGGGCACTAATGAGCTGAAGACATGATGTTTGATAATGATTTGGGGAACTTCAGTTCACTAGGAAAAAGGACTCCCTCTCCTTCTCCCCTTCGGTGTTGCTCAGAGGGTATAATGGCTATGGGTTTGTCTTTCTAATTGCTTTCCACTTTTCTTTCCTCCTTTTTCTCTCAGTGGGACCAAATGATCACTCTCCAACTGACACAAAGAGAATAAGTTATTTTAAAATGTCCAGCATCTTCCTGTTGGATTGACTATATTCAGCTGTTAACATCCTGAAGGATGTTGCCACTAACTGGCATGATCTTAAATTGATGTGTATTTCCAAAATTAAACAGGCTTGTTCACACTGCCTTCCTGCCACCAAAATGCAAACATTTTGGGGGCTAAATTTGCATGTTTCCTTGAGCAAAGTGGAAAGCTCTACTGACACAATGTAATTCAAACATTCTGTCTTAATATGACTGCCAAAGGAAAAGTTCAAATATGTGAGTTGATGTAGAATGCCTAACTGATCTATGTCAATAGCTTGCAAAGGGGAGTAACAGGCTTCTATTCTCCTGCAAATGAGACATTCCAAAAACATGTGCAAACATCTACATTTACAGCAAACAAAATAGGTTCGTAAATCTCTCAAGCACCTACAGCTTCCAAGTGTTTAAAGGGTGTGTGTCTCCTTATGGCACAGTGAAGTATTTTCATTGTTAGAATCTAGAATGCAGCATACCCAATACAGGTTTCATGTCAGATTCATGGCATCACTAACAGTCGTGACCATGTAAGAATATTTTTCCAGAACAGACACACCACAGTCCAAGCAACCAAAAGGGAACTCCCAACACACAGCTCAGTTACATTTGCACTCTTCGTTCAAGGAAAAGAAAAAGAAATCAGTGGGCATGTCATTACCTGTGTTGGTTGTGAACTCAAATGGTCCACTGAAGTCTCCATATCCTGCTGCCGTCCTGGCCCGCACATGAAATACATATGAAGTCAGAGGGTTCAAGCCTTTGATGTCAGTATTCCTGGAGGCTGTCTTCACAATGCGATAGCTGCGCTCGTTTTGGTCCTAACAACAAAAGAACACAGTGGTGATCAAGTAAAAATGCCTCACTGCACCGTGAATTGTGGAACCCCGGTTCCTTGCCAAAACTGTCATGATGAAAGAGGATGAGTAACAACGATGGAATTCTCAAAATACATCCCAAAGGCTTCTGCTGTCGGCCTTGCTCAATACCCCTAGCACTGCGTGCTGCATGGAGCTCTGAGCAAGCCAAATAAGGATGATGAGGTGGTAGGTATGATGCTCATATATCACTGATTATTTGAGAAATCACACAACGAAATCCTTTGGAAAATAGCCAAGCGTTCAAACAAGATCCCCTTGATGAACAAGCAACATTTTACTCACACATGCTGGCACTTTCTTTTGTTTCCTACCAGCCAGAAGCCATATAAAAAAAAAAAAAAAAAAAAGAGATAAAAATATTTTAAGAAAGAAAAGACTCAGAAAATGTCTTTCAGAAAGTCCAGTCTGAAAAACTGTTCTATTTTTGGCTGGAAAAATCCATCAGAGAATGTAATAATTTAGCTTGCCTGAAAATCAGAGGACTTTTTCTGTATGTATTAGTAAGCAAATAAGTCATTATTAAAAAAATTCAGAAGTATGCATGTGCATGTGAGAGAGAGCACACACGAACAAGAGCAGGTAATTGTAATTGTTCATTTTTGCAGAGAACCTTCAAAGAAATAGCTCTTTTCATAGTTCCATACTTAAGAAGTTACTTGCAGGAATAGCATCTCTCTCTAACTTGGGGAGTATGAAGAATGTAATTTTCTTTCCTTATTCTTTATTAAACGCCATCCAGCCCACACTATCACTCTAAGTGGAAGCTATCGGCGAACAGATATTATTATTATTACTGTGTTATATATTTCATTATTATACTTCTGTCTATCAGCTACTGTCTTACTTCTGACCAACATTATTGATTCTCATTATATATATGCTTGCTACAAAAGCTCAGTTCCTAGGTAGGAAAAAAATAACGAACTCATGCTATACAGCTGGAACAGCTATGATTCTTACTCTGTCAAGCAACCATTCAAGTGCATGAAATCTTTAATTGGATTTTATTAAACTGATTCTATTTGGTTTCAAATGATGGAATCTGGAAATAAGCCACAATGAAATGAAGTCAAAAGCTCTCCTCAAACCCAAAAAACCCCTCCTTGCTTGTCCATTTTTGAACAGTACCTTTTCATAGTATTTGACTTCATACTCCAGGATGACTCCATTTGGCCTGTCAGGTTCCAGCCAAGCCAAGGCAACACTGTGCCGTGTTATCTCTTTAGCCTGGATCAGAGCAATTGGTGATGGAGCTGCCAGAATTTAGAAGAAAAAAAATAAAATAAAAACTACAAGCAATACTTTAGTTTTAATGAGCAACACATTTTTAATTAAAGCTTTCACAACATGAGCACTTTCAGAAACTGTTTTTCTTGGGGGGGTATGGCGATTAGAAGCACTAAGTATTTTTCCTGTTTTCTCTAACAGCATCACATTTAATTCTCTCTAATAAAGTTTGTTCTTGGATTTTGGGCAATTCTATACAGGTGGGTTTTGAAGTAATAACACAGTTGTCTAAACACCATGTTCATGACGCCCAGGTACAAACCTCCATAAGAGGCTAAACTACTAAAAGACTCTGCCTTTTTTTTGCCCTTTGTTAGGCACAGTGCATAAACTTGTACTTTTATTGTGGTCCACAGCCAATCTCTTCTTCCACCTCCTAAAATTAACTGATGTTTCTTCGTTAGCTATTTGCTTTACGGAAACTCTGAAGTTCCTGAGGGACTAATCTGGTTTTCTCTAAAGCTGAGAAAATATTGCCACTGAATTAAGTAAAACCAGAATAAAGCTGAATACACATGAATTTGGACCCTCCCATGAAAACCAGGAAACTTGTATTTCAAGATTCTGAGCCAATTTGTGCTTCCTAAACTTGCCCTGCTTATGCCCGTGTCTGTGGGCGGTCCCTGGAGAATGGGGAAGCTCAGCGCCCAAAGGCCAGATTCTGGCTTTGGTAGCTCCTTCCCAGCCAGAAGATATCAGAGATTGGACCACTGTGTACCAAACTGGCTTCATCTGACCCTGCCCCCGTGGTGCTATATTGATACGATGAACAGGAAAAGCTGGAAGACACTGCCAAGGGTAAGGGCTGCACGATTTTGGGAGAAAACCTAGCAACAAGCTAAACTCAAAGATCCTTTAAACTGTATCTATGCGCAGTAATAAGGGCTGCAATGAAGAAGATAATGGAAGACATCTCATTGTGCACCCTACACTTTCAATAGAGCCCCTGCTAATGCTGAAGTTCAGGTTTTTGACTGGCTGGAAGACAATGCATTCTCCCTTTGACTGTGATAGCAGCAGATTCATGGCTGTGCTGGGGGAACGGGTTTTCTGAAGATTTATGAACCCGGCTGCCCCTTTTTTGCTGTTGTGTTGCTGTGTGGTCACGTCTCTAGCCAGCTGTTATCAAGCTCTTTTGATACTGACAATAGCTCGTATAAATGGTGGAGTCTCCAAGGATAAAAAGGGACATTCATGAAATTTTTAATCTTATCTAACAAAGCTGTCCTGTATAACCAGAGATTAGAGGTCTTCCTAAATTGAATATATTTCTTCTTTTGTCCCCTGAAGCTGTAGCCATGTTGCTCTTTTTCCCCTCCTTTCCTTTTCTTGTTTCTTTTTCTACCCTTAACTTTGGGATGACGATTCATGAAAATGTTAGAAACTAAAAAGTATCCTTGAAACACATATCCTTGAAAACTACTAAGAAAGACAAGTAAATAAAACAGTCACAATAAATGAAAGGAAAATTGAAGGTTGGAAGCCTCAAACCTACTTGACCATATCAGACAGTTCTGATGGAAGTGAAAATAACCAGTATACACAGCGCAGTCACAAAAGGGTGTCTCCTCTTGATGTGAAACCGTCAGGGAGCTGCTTCCCGATTTACTATTTGACAGTTTGGCATCTCTGTTAGAAATGCCTCCAGAACCTTTATCTCTTTTTCCCTTGTCTGTCTCTCACAAACAAAGGCAAATACTGGGTGACAGAGGAGACTATAAACAGCCAATGCGGAGGATCCAGGTATGCTCCATCAAGTTATATCTGTGGCATGACTGAGAACCTGCTTAATAACCTCACAGTTCCTCAACAGAGGATCAGACTTTTTTTTCCCACTTTGCAGTGAGAATACTGCTCAGCAAATAAATTAGAAATCAGATTTGTTACCCTAAAACACACATACCCCCCCATTACTGATAAGCCAACTGTGAGAAATCTGCTTACTTAATTGGTGACTCATGAAGGGCAGAAAGGCAATTCTTTTTACTGAGAATCTGCCACTTATGCTGGTCTGACTTCAGGAATTGTAGAGAGAAAGATCACTTTCATTCCTTGTTCTAACCTCCTTGGTTTTCCATTTCATTTCTGCAGGTATTTATATTGGAATTTAGTAAGTCCTTCAATATTGGGCTGGTACATGCTGTATGAAAATGCATTTCTTCTCTGTTGTAAAATGGTTATTTGGAGCAGAATAATATATATATATATTAACTACTGCTTCTTGTGAAAGATGCTTAGTTTTATATAATTTAACAAGTACTTTCTCATGTCTCTCAAAAATGGACAGCTGATCTTAGGCACTACACCACAGCGGAATAAACAACCTACTCCTGGCCTCCAGGACAGGAGGCCAGAAGCATTTGTACACCCATTGCTTTGATAGGATGGATCAATGAGGATTTGTACAACCATTCCTTTGTTACTCCTTACGATTACAATTGTAAGAATGGCCCTATTTTTTTTTTCTTTCTGTCCTTTACATGCAAATTCATCCTACTTAACTTTCAATCCCCTCTTTTGTCCTGTATTCTGTAGATGAGCAATTTACTTCTGAGGTTTTTTGTTTTGATTGTACATCTTGTCTTCCCATGTGCTATACAGAAATCCCAAGTGTTGAAGTCCAACTACAGGATGAAGTACCACAATTGCAAGAGGCTGTCCAGGAGCTATTTGACATCTCTGCAGCATAGACCTATAACAGTGTATGCAATAGGATGGTGATCTGCAGCCCTCTGGACCCTGAGGAACTGGGTTCTGTAAACCACAGGGAGTACTACAGTTATCCTACTGCATGTATAAAATCCTCCATTACTAATTCTCTTTTATTTCTGCAAATAGCCTTATAAATCAGGTTTATTTGTTTCCTTGTTTTCCAGGATCCACCAGCTGACCTGAGAGGGCTTCTAGAAAGCAAACAGGTCTGAGTCTCCATGGACATATACTACACAAAGAGCCTAAGAGTCCTGCCAACAGAGTTCAGGACAAAGAGGACATCACCACTGCCAGCTCATCATGGCAATACAGGCAGCAGTCACAGCCTTCACAGGGTGAGCTTCTGTAAAATATTTACATTCTTTGTTCTTCTCTCTTTTGCCTCTAAACTGCCTCTTAGGGATGATGTGAAGATAAACATGTAACAGGTTGTAAAATGATGCTTTGATCATGAGCAGAATAAAAGACAGAATCTTCTCTTATATGTGCGTGGGCTAACTGTTCATTATATACACACGTTCCTACAAAAACCCTCATACTGAGGACAGCTTGACTGAAGAGAATATTGTACACGATTAAGACGTTTGCAATACGATCACACAATATTTTTGGATCAGAGTGGGAGATCACTTTTTCTTTCACTTTTTGCACTTTCCTCCTCCCTCCTTGCTGGTATTTGGAAAGGAACACTACACAAAAACTTGCCTCTCAATGATCATTGCTTACAACAGCAACTTTTTCTGCCACACATGCACAGACTGTACGTACCAAACACCAATTCCACCAGAACAGCCCATTTCACAGGGAAGAATGACAAAGTATTTTGGTGTCTAAAACAGGGTCTCCTTGAACAAAAGCACCAAGTATAACTTTCCTTAGTTCAAAGCTCAGCAGTTCCTCTCCCTTAAAAACCCCACTCCCTACTGATGTGAATGTTGCAATTTTCTTTTATCTACTTCCTCAATAACCTGTCATTAAACACCTACTAGTAGTTTTATTACTGCGGTTCTAAGCATGCGGCCTACAGAGAGGGAAAGACAAAAACTTCACCCAAATGCCATAAAGCCATATCCCAAGGCTAGTAAGTGTTGAATTGTAACAGTTTTGAGGCACTTTAAAGGATCGCAGAAGCAGAGTGTCAGTTTTTCATTACTGGTTCAAATTAGGAGTCGGGGGGAGAGGAAAAAAAACAGGAAATAAATAGATGCAATAAAGTGTCTGGCATGTAGGCATCCATGAGTGAAAACAGCCCTTTACAAAACTACAACACATGAGTACTCAGATATCAAAGATACACAATGCCCAGTGTTTTATTGAAGATGCCTTCTTAACCACAGCAGGGTTTACTTTCCACTCCCCATGATTTGAATTTAAATGGATTGTGTTTACTCAAGGGGTCTTTCACTGACTGAAAAATATACCCACAGTTTGTACATTGTCTCAGCTAAATTCAAATAACATATTTAAATTTAATTACTTGAAGCTTAGGGGTTTTCATGCTTTTCTTTTTTTCCTTCAATTGTGCACACCACCACTTATTGTTCTTATCAATGGCTATGCACTTTGTCAAGCATCAAAATTAAATGCTTGAAAGCACTAATGATGTTACTGTGATTAAGCATTTTTACCTTCCAGGGTAGATACAAAAAGCCTGCTCCGTTATTAATTACTAACAAAAAAAAAAAAAAACCCACAACAATTCTGAGAATCTAACAATGCAGAAAAGTCCTCTTAGAAATCACAACAAGACAATAAAAGTTCTTCTCCTAATTGGGACAAAACGCATTTAAGGGAACCTGACACATTTCAAGTTTTCTTTTTGAATATTTACCTCGTAATATTGTGGGGGTTTACATGGGATTTTTATAAATTATATTATCAAATAATCTCACAGTAGGAAAAAGATATACAACACAAAGAATCAAACATTTTTAATCATTTCTAAAGGCAACATTCTCTAGGCCAGAGTCTGGTCATTTTATTCATGTAAGACAATAACTTACTCTAGTAGCTTTTGCACTGACTTCAAGTCAAGCAAAGGGAGAAGTATCCAGCCCTATTTAGTTTCATGTACCAGAATAAATTAAAATGAAAGTAGTTCTGCTCTTCCCTAAAATGTTCAGTTCTTCTTCCTGCTGGTTACTTGGTCCTTTTAACCACTCTTCTCTCTAGTCCAGGCAGCAATGCTCCCATTTCCGAATAACACCAGCTCTGTGCTCCGAGAACTGCTGGCAAAGGCTTTACAAACAAAGTA